GCGGGCGCAGTCCTGCAAGACCGGTCCTGAGGTGCGCCCCTTGCGGGGTGGACACGAAGTAGGGTCAGACACTCACGAGGGAGCTGGGGGTCCCAGCCCCTGCGCAGTTAGCGGAGGTGTGCATGTGTCGTACCACAGGGTACGGTGGTGGGCACGAAGTGCAGGGGGACTGCCACACCCTATTGTCCTGCGCGGCTACGGGCCCTGGCAGCCCGACCCTGCCGCCAGGTGCGAGCCAGTACTGCGGGGGCCCAGCAGGACTTGAGAGCTGCAGAAGGCGAGGGGAGAAGCGGGGGCCCAGAACAGCCTGGCTGCCTGGGTCGCTCCTCTGCAAGGCCCGGCCCTCGCCCCACTGGGTGCCAGCTAGTTATGTGGACTGCAGTGGACATCAGGATTGTGTCACCTGGGGACACAGGGAATGTAGAACAAGGGAGGACGCCGGGGCCCAAGAAGGAGAAGGAAATGACTCACTTGGCCTCGGCCTGGAGTGGGCCAGGGATGTATCCAAGGAATTAGGAAAGGGCTTGTTTCTGGTGGGATCTGGGTATACGAGTTGGTTAGACTCACCATGGGGGAAGGGAAGGGCTGCCTGCTACATTTGGGTCAGATACGTGCTGGGTGCCGCCTGGGCTAGTCTCAGAAAGATCCAGCCTCCCCCTCACCCTCTAGGGCTGCTCCTCGGTGGACACTGGTCTGGTCCACTCCAAGGTGCTGTCTCACTGTCCCAGCAGAAGCAGCTCTGAGGGGAGGTGGAGGGGGGCATCGGTCGCAACTCTCGGAAGGTGGGGAGTCAGTGCAATTGGCCTAAGGCTGGGGAGGGACAGACTCCCTTGATTATTGAGTCAGGATTCCATCCCAGTAAAAATGGAGATCTCTGTGTAGAAGACAAAGCATCAAAAAATAGGTAGCCAAGGACAGAGGCAGGGAGGTGTGTCCCATGGAGATTTCCTTGTGTCTGATCCTCCCTCTCTGCTGGACCCGGGTTATCAGTGCCCTCCTTTTACAATGGGGACTAAGTTATGGAAACAAAGGCCACCCCAGGAGAACCAACACTTAGAAATCGGGTTAGTAGAGGCTTGCTGGGAAGGGGCTGATGGCCTCAGCAGAGACTGAAGGTAGGCAGGGGAAGGGCCTCACTGTGGACAAAGTGAGGCCCAGCTGTGTCCTGGTGGTGCTCACTAGAAGAGGGCTCTATGCACTTGACTTAAGGGGCATATTTGAGGCTGGCTGGTTGGTCCTAAGTTGGAAGTGGAGACAGACATTAAGAAGCAGCTGTCCTGGCCTATCTGGGCCAAGAGCAGCACATAACTGACCCAGGGTCTGGCCTGCTGGCAACTCAAAAGCCACTCCTGGAGAAGCAAGAGTTGGTAGGAAGGAGTTAGGTTTATTTAAGGGTGGGCACCTTGGGAGATGGAGGGGCTATCATTCTAAGGCTCAGTCTTAGGGGCTCAGGGGTGCACAGGGCTTTTATAGGGAGAGTATGGAGTGTGGGTCTCCTCCTTAATTGGTTAGAATGGCTTGATGGATCTTGACCTCCTGGCGCAAGTTTCTGTAGTTTGATTTATTTATTTTTGGTGCTTGTGATTGAATCCAGGATGCTTTACCATGAGCTACATCCTCAGCCCTTG